CCATGAATAGCGCCCCAAGGCAGCCTGTAGGCAAAGAATGGAGTAGACCTTAATAATGGAAATGACTACAGGACATTGGTTGACCCTGTTGGAGACTGGGGAATGATCCTCACGCTGAGCAATTGGGGCTGCCGGATGCGCAGTTCACGGTCCAGGTTCCCCACAAGAGGGAAGCGTGAGCCAGTTCCAGCAGGCGAAAAAAGAGGGTGAAAATTTCGTCGTTGCCGCAGAAAAAAGAGCAGAAGGGAGGGACCGGCCGAGGAGTCTCCAGTTGCATTGCCCGCGAATCATCATTGCGCTGACCGCCCGGCTTTTTTTAATCTCCGCCCACTTTTCTCTTTCTCCTGGCAACCTATGACTCTTCCCTGCCTCCCTCAACAACGTCTCTTCATTTAAATCCATCTGTGACTCATTCGCTGGCCTCGCTTGTTAGTCTTCTTCCTATATTTATCTCGCTTTGCTCTCATTCAATGCTGGTTGCTCAATACTGACCATCAACCTTACTAGAGCCATCTGCCGTCTTAACTATATACTACCGATCTATCTGCGTGCTACCCCACCATCAATTCATTCACAATGTGCCCCGGTGCAGACCACGAGCCCAATGGGCAGGCCAACGCTGCCAATGGCCGCAACGGTATGTTTCTAGCTTTTAAACAGATGAACTGCAAGTGCCTATACTAATCAATACCCTTCAGGTGAACACCCCGGCTTCACTGCCGTCGAGACTCGCCAGAACCCCCACCCCTCCGTCTCTCGGAACCCCTATGGCCACAACGTCGGTGTCACCGACTTCCTGAGCAACGTCTCTCGCTTCCAGATCATCGAGAGTACCCTGCGTGAGGGTGAGCAGTTCGCCAACGCTTTCTTCGACACCGAGAAGAAGATTGAAATCGCCAAGGCCCTCGATGAGTTCGGTGTTGACTACGTGAGTCATACCCCGGTGGATCTTCACAATGCCGGAGAGAGCGTGCACTGACCACCACTTTAGATTGAGCTCACCAGCCCTTGCGCTTCCGAGCAGTCGAGAAAGGACTGTGAGGCCATTTGCAAGCTTGGCCTGAAGGCTAAGGTATGTTACACTTGTCTACCATGTAGCGTGCGTCATCCGGCTAATGTTCGATTCAGATCCTGACCCACATCCGTTGCCACATGGACGATGCTCGCATTGCCGTCGAGACCGGTGTTGATGGAGTGTAAGTGCTGATTGTCCTGCATATTCCATGTTCGACTGCTAACAATTTCGGACAGTGATGTTGTTATTGGAACCTCCTCTTACCTCCGTGAGCACTCCCACGGCAAGGACATGACCTACATCAAGAACACCGCCATCGAAGTCATCGAATTCGTCAAGTCCAAGGGTATTGAGATCCGTTTCTCCAGTGAGGACTCTTTCCGCTCTGATCTTGTCGATCTCCTGTCCATCTACTCGGCCGTCGACAAGGTCGGTGTTAACCGTGTCGGTATCGCCGATACCGTCGGCTGCGCTTCCCCCCGTCAGGTCTACGAGCTTGTCCGTGTCCTGAGAGGTGTTGTCAGCTGTGACATCGAGACCCACTTCCACAACGACACTGGTTGTGCTATTGCCAACGCTTACTGTGCCCTGGAGGCTGGTGCCACTCACATCGATACCTCCGTCCTTGGTATCGGTGAGCGTAACGGTATCACTCCCCTCGGTGGTCTCATGGCCCGCATGATGGTTGCCGACCCCGAGTACGTCAAGGGCAAGTACAGGCTGGAGAAGCTCAAGGACATCGAGGACCTCGTTGCCGAGGCCGTTGAGGTCAACATCCCCTTCAACAACTACATCACCGGTTTCTGCGCTTTCACCCACAAGGCCGGTATCCACGCCAAGGCCATCCTCAACAACCCCAGCACCTACGAGATCATCAACCCCGCCGACTTCGGCATGTCTCGTTATGTCCACTTCGCTTCTCGTCTGACCGGCTGGAACGCTATCAAGTCTCGTGCCCAGCAGCTCAAGATTGAGATGACCGATGACCAGTACAAGGAGTGCACGGCCAAGATCAAGGCTCTGGCCGATATCCGCCCCATTGCTGTCGATGATGCCGACAGTATCATCCGTGCCTACTACCGCAACCTCAAGCTGGGCGAGAACAAGCCCCTCCTGGACCTCACGGCCGACGAGCAGGCTCAGTTCGCTGCCAAGGAGAAGGAGCTTGCCGCTCAGGCTTCTGCCTAAGTATGGGATCGAAAGTGATCTCCGACGTTGGCTTTTCTTCTAATCATGCATTTATTCCGACTGGGATAGACGTCTATATCCTTATTAGAGCTTCGATGTTTTCTATTTCCTTACTCTTTTAGCGGCTCCCTTGGCGGAGGACGTTCTTGTTTTGCGTTTGCTGGTTTCATGAATGGATGTTTATGTGTTCTCAGGATGGTTTCTTTGATTTCCACGGGGTTTTCAAAAGTTGTTCCTTGTCTCTGATGGAAAAAAGGGAGGGGGGCCGGTGTTAGGACAGCCCTTGGTCCTCGCGTGGGACCGTGTACATACGCAGAATTTCGATGCCATAGCATCTATCCTACAATATACAGGATATACCAAAGTTAAAAGTGTGGCTGCAATATATCTAGTAAGATTAATTGGAATTGATTGGTGTAACAGAAGCAAGGGGGTGATGTGAGTTCATGTGGAGTGTCAAATCTAGTACTAGACTAGATTGTCATGAGGAGAAGCGCATGCGGGAACCGAGGCAGTTTCCCGACTGCCCGTCCGCGGCCAGTCAGTCGTTCTTATCGCCCCCGGCTCCGGTTTCCTGCATCATCCGACCCATCGACCTTCCTTCACTTCCCCAGTCTTTCTCTTCTCCCTCAGTCTGGAGGTCGTCGTGCCCTTACCCCGACCAGGCTTTATTTCTATTGCCTACAACTATGGCATCTTCTTTACTTCCCGTCGCCCTGCAGAATAAACTGCTGGGCTACAGCAGGGCCCCCAGCACCCAACTGGCGGCGGCACATCTGGACTTGTGAGTGGCCGAGCAGCTTTACATTATCCCCGCGTAACGGCGGACGATCGCTCGCTCGTCTGACGTTTGTTTTCCTGGAACTATGTGCTAATCTGTTAATCACCGGGCGATTAGTCTTCGAAATATCGTTTTTGTCCTCTTTATCCTTCGCTACGTTCGCAAGACATTCTATTCATTGCGCGGTTATGGCATCTTCGGCAGCATCCGTAATGCCTACGCCGCCGTCCGTCTCTTCTTCTATTCCGTCTTTCTGCGATTCCCCGGCGTCCGCGGCCAGGTTGATAAGCAGGTTTCCACCGCTATTGAGAATCTCGAATCGAAACTCGTCGCGTCTGGGCCTGGTGTTAATCGGTATCTGAATCTTCCCAAGGAAGGATGGACCGCGGAACAGGTTCGCGCTGAGCTCGATAAGCTGGCGAATATGGAACATACACGCTGGGAAGATGGCCGTGTCAGTGGTGCTGTCTATCACGGTGGCCAGGACCTGTTGAAGCTGCAGGCAGAAGCGTTCGGACAGTTTGGTGTTGCAAACCCCATCCATCCTGATGTGTTTCCTGGTGTTCGGAAGATGGAAGCCGAAGTCGTAGCTATGGTAATGACTTCCCGGGAAATTCACGAGTATGTGGCTTACTTGGATTAGGTTCTGGCGCTGTTCAATGCGCCGTCCGATGGCGCGGGTGTCACTACAAGTGGCGGTACGGAGTCGATCATCATGGCATGCTTGGGTGCGCGCCAGAAGGCTTTCCTCGAGCGTGGCGTAAAGGAACCGGAAATGTGGGTGGCCACTCCTATACATACCCTGCTTATGTACTGACACGCCGGTAGGATCATTCCCGATACTGCTCATGCTGCCTTCATCAAAGCCTGCAACTACTTCAAGATCAAGCTCCATCGTGTTCCCTGCCCGGCTCCCGAGTACAAGGTGGACATTCCTTCCGTGCGTCGCCTGATTAACTCGAACACTGTCTTGATTGTTGGCTCGGCACCCAACTTCCCTCACGGAATTGTTGACGACATCCCAGCTCTGTCTCGCCTCGCGACGTCCTACAAGATCCCTCTGCATGTTGACTGCTGCCTTGGTTCTTTTGTTGTTGCCTTCCTGAAGAAGGCCGGCTTTGCGTCGCCCTATGAAGAGGAAGGTGGGTTCGATTTCCGCCTTCCCGGAGTGACTAGCATCAGTGTGGACACGCACAAGTATGGATTTGCACCCAAGGGTAACTCGGTGCTCTTGTATCGCAACAAGGCCTACCGCAGCTACCAATACTTCATCTACCCAGACTGGTCCGGTGGTGTTTATGCCTCCCCATCTGTGGCGGGTTCCCGTCCTGGTGCCCTGATTGCCGGATGTTGGGCCAGTTTGATGAGTGTTGGCGAGTCTGGCTACATCAAGAGCTGCTTGGACATCATGGGCGCCGCCAAGAAGTTCGAATCCTCCATCAAAGAACACTCAGTTCTGTCGAAGAGCTTGGACATCGTTGGAAAGCCCATGGTCAGCGTTGTTGCGTTCTACAGCAAGAATGACGCCGTTGATATTTACGATATTGCGGACAGCCTTTCTGCTAAGGGCTGGCATCTCAATGCGCTTCAATCGCCCCCGGCGATCCATGTCGCGTTCACCGTCCCCACGGCCGCTGCTGTGGATGCACTTACCACCGACCTGGTCGTGGCTGTGGAGGCGGAGTTGGCCAAGGCGGAAGAGAGGAAGCAGCAAGGCAAGGCATACGTTGTTAAGCGTGGAGACACTGCAGCTTTGTACGGTGTGGCCGGCAGCATGCCGGACAAGAGTATTGTCAGCCGCCTGGCCGAGGGCTTCCTGGATACCCTGTACAAAGCTTAGATTGTTCAAAAGGCCCGCACTGTCCATATGGGTTGAAAAGCGTATAAGTCTAGGAATTGCAAATAGCGGACAATTGGTGTTATGGTGCATAGGTTGGGTATTGCTTCGTCTGAAGAATTATTGTTATAAAACAGACGTTAAGACTTGAACTTTTAGGGTGATGTAGATCCCATTCCATATGACAATATGTGTAGTATAGTACAGTGCAAAATCGTTGCGCAAGATGAACCCGGACTCAGACACACGATCTGATCAAATAAAAGCCGCTGGATGCATGCAATAGTTCACTTCCCTTCACCTCCACCTCTAAGTGGGAATTTCACCCACTTGCTCAATCCCATATAGTACACATCACTTTCCACCCACATGAGCAGGCATATCCAACAAATTCGACAATAAAATATGAAATCCCAGACTCCAATCGCATACCAATCAATCAAACGAACCATTCCGCAAAAAAGCCGAATTGAAAACACCAACAGTCCATCTCATTCCCTAGAGATGGATATCACTCAAGCCAATCTATTCTCCTCAAACTCCACCCCCGAGGTCTTCTCAACATAGTATCCCGGATCGGGCTTGCGCTCGAGATGCACCTCTTGCTTCGTGAGTCGACGGTCGACTTCCTGCACCTGCACCAATTCCTTGACTTTCATGATTTGACCCGCCACGGACGGCGACACGGGGTGGAAGACGGTAGCCATGCGCTTCTTCAGGCCGAGGGCTTTTAGGACGTCGTTGGTGCGGCGTGGAAGACCGATTGCTGAGCGCATGAGCGTGACGCGGAAGTAGCTGCTCATTTTGGCGGTTGGCGGATTTGTTTGTTTGTTTGGTTCGGAGGTACTTGGTAGGAAGGTTTCGGAGAATCGTAACGTAGACGGTCAATGACCCAGCTGGTTTGGAGGATGTGGAGTTGTTCTCTGTCCTTGCGAATGCTGCTCGCTGGGATGCTTTTGCTGTTGATTCCGCAAATTTCCCGATGGCGGTAGCGTAGCTGGGCGGGGAGTCACGTGGTGGATGTGTTCTGCCGGTTGGCGGGTTGGCGGGCGCGGGAAATGCGGGTGGCATTTACTACTTAGTATGCTTGCTATGCTACCTAATTGCTGTGTATCTTTGTAACGATTGTCATTTTGGAACATTCTTTGGCTCGGTGAGCCATTGGTGAGTTTGTCTCTTGTTGTCATGCTGGGAGGTTATCATGCTAATGGTCCGAATGGTATGCAGATATACCCCGGAGCGCTGCGCGTTTAGGAGGGGATAATTGCTGCTAGCTTATGGTCTAGCTGTTACTATAGCTAACCACCATCGGTCGGTTGTTTGGACTATACTTGTTGGTGGCGTGATAATACCTGGTCGGCTTTGTATACATACTTGCGGTGATACGGACTCGTTGAACGACTATACCGTGAACTTCGAGACTGCGACAGCTACAAACCATGGCGCGAGACGACAACGGAACGGTGGCCATGCCCCGTCTAGAAGACATCCTCCGCCACCCCGAAGACCTCGACAAGATCATGGGTCTGAAAGCCGAGTACTCGCGCAAGAAAGCGGCCGTTGATTCTCAGCTACGAGAAGGTCTGCGCGACCAACTCGAGACCGTGCAGCGCAGCATCAACGCCCTCACAGAAGGCCAGCGACAGGTGTCCAAGACGAAAGACGAGCTACAAGGAATCGACAAGCTATGCGCGGAGTCGCAAACAAGCGTGGAGGATTTCTCGCAGATCGACAAGCTGGCCAAGGTGCAGAGAAATTTCGAGGCCACGTTGACGATGAAGAAGGGGCTGGAGGAGTTCAGTGAGAATCTGGCAGTGGTTGAGGATCTTCTGCGCGAAGATGATGAGGATCTGGAGAATCAGCCCAATTTGCTAAGGGCTCATATGCAGATTTCGAAGCTGCGCGATTTCAGAGACGAGGCGATGGATCAGATACGCAAGGCGCAAGATCCGAGTAGTGAGGAGACCCTGGCGGATTACTTCCAGGGGCTGGATGGGGTGGTCGATTGGTTTGATGATCACCTTGGTACGGCGTGCATGAACTTGATCCCGTTAGTGCAATCAGATAACCCTGGGATGGTGGTCCGGCTGGCGGTTGTGGTCATGAACGAGGAGAAGAATGATCAGACAGTGCGGGCGTTGCAGGAGGCACAGAAGGATCACCAGGACCTGGCAGACCGGTTTAAGTCGATGAATGTAGGACCGAAGACGGTTCGAGGATACAAGGAGAAGTTCCTTCAGGCCATCGAGTTCTACGCGCAGAACCAGTTCGAAGCAACCAAGGAGGACTTCCTGGCCGAGCCGGACAACCTCGACAAGAACTTCCGCTGGTTCTTCAACGACCTCTACACCGTGCAGCAAGGCATGCAGCCGCTGATGCCAAAGAAATGGAAGATCTACAAGACCTACACGGAGATCTACCACCGCATGATGCACGACTTCTTCATCGGGCTGATCAACGACCCCGAACTACCCGCCGACAACCTCCTCGCCATCATCCACTGGACGGAGAAATACTACAAGAAGATGAACAAGCTCGGCTGGAAACAAGCCGACCTCAAGCCCAACATCCTGGACGACCGCGAACCCGAACTCATCCGCCAATGGCAAAACATCATCATCCGCGCCGTGGAAGACTGGACCAACCGCATCACCGAAACCGACCGCAAGGGACTCGTCGAACGCATCCCCGACTCCCTCGACACCAACCCAGAAGGCTGCTTCCGCACCAAAACCCTCCCAGACATGTGGCGCATGCTACACGAACAAATCATGGCCTCGGGCGCCTCCTCCCGCACCGACGTCGTCGAGGGCATTATCGACGCCATGTTTCGCGTCCTCAAAGCCCGCCAAGTGGCCTGGCAAACCCTCATCGACGAAGAATGCGCCAAATACAAAGCCCCCGGCGGCGACCTCCTCGACGGCCTCCAACTCCTCCAGGACTGGCTCGTCGCCGTCGCCAACGACCAAATCGCCTGCATCGACGACAACGAAGAAACCGGCCAACTGGGCTACCTCAGCCGCTTCAAACGCGACTTCGAAAACATCGTCGACCCCAAGTACATGGCCTCCCGAGCCATCCCGGAACTCGACGCCCTGCGCGACGGCTACGTCGATCTCAGCACCCACTGCCTCACCCAGTTCGTCGAACTCATCTTCGCCGTCGACTTCCGCACCACTATCCCCGAATTCTTCACCCAGAAATGGTACGGCGATTTCGCTGTCAAACGGATCACTTCGACCTTCGAAGACTACATGGCCGATTACTCCCCCGTCCTGCACCCCTCTCTTACGGATATCCTGGTCGAGGAACTCTCCGACGAGCTCCTCGTCAAGTACCTCTCGTCTGTGCGCAACAAGGGCGTCAAGTTCCGCCATAATACCGATCCGTACACGGATAAATTCAAGGATGATGTCCTTACGGTGTTTGCTTTCTTCCAGAATTATCCGGATTCGTTTGCCGGTACGATTAAGATGAAGTGGCGGTTGGTGGATTGGTTGGTTAGATTGTTGGAGTCGGAGAAGGGACCTGCTCTCGTCGCTGTGTATGAGAACTTTAAGACCGAGTATTGGGATTTGCAACTCTCGTGGGTTGAGGCTGTGCTGAGGACGAGGGACGATTTCGAGCGCAGTATGATTAGTGCTGTTAAGGCCAAGGCGGCCGAGTTGTCTGTTGAGAGGGGGATGGAGACGTTGATGAGTAAGATCAGGTAGTTGGGGTTATTGGTCTGGTGGTTGAGAGTTGTGTCTTTCAGCGTGGTGTTTGGCGTTTCATCTACTTTTATTACTTTTTACACATCATTCTGGTTGTAGACTATGTATGTATATGCTGCTGCTGTTGCTGTCTGCTTTTAGCCGAACATGATATTCAAGGTATCACGAACCGAACAGCAGACTCTTCTCCGCTACGACGCGATACTTCTCCCCTAGTCGCGCATTCATGCCCTCGTCCTTACCATTCAGATCAGGCACGAGTTTCTTCGCCCCCATCTCGCAGATACATACCGACTCGATAGGGAAATCCCTTGCCCAGACGAAGGGCGTGCCTTTCCGTTTGGAAAGACCACTCTCACCCTCTGAGCCTGACCCTGACCCAGAGCCCTCATTCTCAATGGCCCCCATACTAGGACCAGTCACAGTCCCAGTACTCTCCAAACCCTCCCCAGGCGGGTTATAATCACGATACCTAGCAAGAATCTCCCTCGCATCGAACGTATACTGCCTCTTCCTCTTATCACCCCTGCCATCACCACCTCTACCTCCTCTCCCACCATGATCACCACCTTTCCCTTTCGCATAGATAGTATTCACAATCGTAGCATGCAGCAACAACGGCCGTACCTTGGGCTTAGACCCGACAGGTACAGGCGCCATCTCCGCACTATCCCCAGCAGTCAAATCCACCTGCCCCTGCTGCTCCTCACCACCACCACCTACATCCACCGCCACCTCCGCAGGCTTCTCCGCAGGCTTATCCCCCACCAAAAACCCCTCCTCGAGAAATCTATCCCTCAACTTCACACAAAACGGATACAGACGGTTCGTGGGGTCCACGGGCGCGGCATGCAGAACGGTCGCTGCTTTTGCGCGGGGAATGGCGTGTAGGGATTCGAGGGATATGAGGAATGGAGAGGCGGGTGGGGTTGGGTCTGATGGTAGTGTTTGTGGTGAGGAGGATTGGGTCTCGCGAAGCATGGCTTCTAGGTCGAGGGAGTGCAGGAAGCGGATTGCTTGGGAGAGACGGTCTGGGGTGGGGAGGCTCATTACGCCGAGGGTGAGGTGGAGGGTGCCGACTGGGCGGTGGGCGGAAGGGGGGATGAGTGGTTGGGGTTGACGTGCATGTTGGTGGTGTTCATGTCCATGTTCATGTTGGTGTTGAGGTTGGAGAGTTGGGACCGAGGCTTTAAATGTTGCGAGGGAGGATTCGAGTTGGGGGAGGGAGGTGGCGTTGATGAGGGGGAGGCAGAGGAAGTGGGTGAGTGGGGGGCGTTTTTCCTTTCTTTGATTGGGATGTGGTCGTGGGTTGGACATATTTTTGTGGTGGTTGTGGTTGTGATGGTGGTAGAGTCGTGGGAGGGAGAGTGAAAGATTGAGCTGCAGATGGAGCTGATGTCGGGGTTGGAATTGCTGTAGTAGTATTGTATGGGTTGCGATGCAGGGTCTACGTGACCTGCAGGGGCGCATTGAGGAGAAATACTCAAAGATAAGTCCGAATGACTCACATAAAATGGAGGAGATAGTAAGCAATGGAGAGAGTGGATGTAAGAAGTAAGAAGGAATCTTGATGATGATGAAGCTGACAGACTAAAAGGTATAGCTCTCTCCACAGCCAATGACAGCCCGCTCCGCTCCGCACTCGATGATGTGATGCCATCACTTCTTCCTCTCTTGTTCTTGTTCTTCTTCTTCTTCTTCTTCCTCTTTTCCCTTTCTTCTCCCACCACCACCACAACTTCAATCAGTCCAGCACAATGAATCCAACCATGTACTCCCGTCTCCCCCGAGCAATTCTCTCCCCGGCCGCTGCAACTGTCGCCCGTCCCTCCCTCCGCGTCGGTGCCCGCTTCGCAACAGCAACACCATTCCAGCTCCAACCTCAACCCCAACCCCAGCTCCCCCGTCGATGCTTCCACGCCACCTCAGCTCCCCGTAAAGGCATCTTCCCCGATTCTGCAGACCCTCCAGCTCCGCACCCTGAATCCAGCAATGTCGCCGGCGCAGCCACCCATGTCACCGAGCCTTCCCCGTTGACGGACGCGCAGTACCACGACCACGCGGAACACTACTTGGATGTGCTGCAATATGAGATCGAGAAGGTCCAGGAGGAGGGATCGGATATCGAGGCTGAGTACAGTGTTCGTCCTTCCTCAGTTCCCATGATACCCCCGAGTGACGTTACCGAAGAGAAGAAAACATTTCAACTGACAATGATGGGTGACGAATTACAGGCCGGCGTCATGAACATCAGCGTCCCCGGGGTAGGCACCTACGTGCTGAACAAGCAGCCCCCCAACAAGCAGATTTGGTTGAGCTCGCCGATTTCCGGTCCCAAGCGGTACGATTGGGTGGTGGAGGGTGATCAAATGCATGAGAAGCAGGAGTCCAGGCCGTTTATTAATGGGCAGTGGATCTACCTCCGCGATGGGTCGAATCTCACCGATTTGTTGAACCATGAGTTGACTCTCAACTTGCCGAAGGATGTGTACAGTGAGGTTCTGGAGTAGGCTGCTGCTGCTGCTGCTGCTTCTTCCTTTCTCCGCACCGGGAGGTGGTTGGCTTTATGTCTACGGGCGGGCGGTTGAGAGACAGTGTAGGATATGGATTGATGTGTGTGAGTGACTGCTAGTTATCTAGTGTTGTAGTGCCTGGTAGTAGATAATACAGTTCGGCGCGGTACTCGTTGCGTAGAGTACTTGTGCGCAGATAACATCGTATATATCGAAGTGGTATCTTAATCCATACTTCCATCGTTGACTCATTCAACCTGCGCATCTATCGCAGGTATAGACATCTTGCGTCGCATGCGCCCGTGTTATACCGGCGCGGCATCGGCTCTGCGCCTGCGCTCGCCCTCGAGCGCAGCAAGCTGCATATCGTATGTCGATTGGCTGCTGCTGCTGCTGCTGCTGCTGAAGCCATGACATCACCCACCGATATCACCATCGAGAGACGCCCTCGTATTCGACACACTCATCTCGCAGTGAACACTTTGTCGCAAAGCACACTCGTCGTTTGTTCGAGGTATCGGAAAGCAATCGTCCGCGAGCAATCCAATCCAATCCAACCCAATGTAGAGAATCCCAATACCAAATCAACTTAATCGGCTTAACCCTAAGCGATAACTCCCAACATTTAAGCCTGAACAGCAACCGCCGCCGACCCGTTCTTATCATCACCGTCCTTGGGAAGATCGGCCTAGACGCAAACCCCGCATCATCAGCATAACAGTTCCCAATTATACATAGCGAATTCTCAAGAAACAAGACGGAAAGGGGAAAGAAAGAAAGAGGGGGAAATTACCGCATCAAAAATCACCCTAATCATCAAACTACAACTGGGACAAACACCAATATCCTCGCCGTCACGGAGATCATCGATGGCGATTTCGAAGCGGTCGCCACAGGGACACGGGTAGTGGTAGATCTGGAGAACCGGGTCGAAGGTCATGTCTTCAATTTCGATCTCGTCGTAGATGGAGATGGAGTCGTCGGCCATTTCTTTCTTATCCCTTTTATTTTATGGGGTTTTGCTTGGTTTCTTGGGGGAAATAGAAATAGAAAGTCGGGGTGGTTCCTGAGTATAAGAATTAAAGTGGGCTACTATCGTTATCAGTGACTGGATGGCAAAAAAGAAAACTTTTGGCGGGAGGGGTCAGGTGATTGCGGGGTTGGTGATTGGTTCGTTATTTAGCTGTATACCGAGTAGTAGTACCAGTTAAGGTATAAGGGTAATGTTATTATGTTTTTATTGGCGTATGTTCGTGTCAGGGTATCTATCATAAATCAAGTCTATACATGCAATCGCTCAATCTCCATCCTCACATCCTCTACCTCCTGTATCAACGACCCATACTGTTGCGCAAGCTCCTTCATCGGTCCGCGCACGGCTCCATCAATATTATTTTCGTAGACCTTCAACTCCTCCAAAGCCGTAGCACGTCGCTCCTCTAGCCGTTCCCTCGTATTCTGGAGGTGCTGATAATACCGTTGCAGCGCATCCACCACCTCCGGTGTATGTATCGTCGCGAGTATATCCAGTTTCGTAAGACTGCGGTCATATCATATTAGCCCCTGTTCTCCCACCTCATTCCAATGTAGACATACTTAAGCTTCCCCTCTATTCCCTGCGCCACCGCCAGCAAATGATCCGCCTTCGCCTTCGCCGCCCGAGCCATCGCCCCATGTTTCGCTCTCTCTAAGAGCATCACCGTGCGCTCCAGCACGGCCGCCCGTGTCGCGAGCACCTCCGCCGCCGTCGCAGCCATCCGGGTCCGAGCCGCCGGAATTTCCGTCAACTGTATTTTACGCAAAGCGCGAATCCGGTCCTCGAGCTGTGAGGCGAGCGGCACCTGCGCGACGGACCTAAGCATAGCCTGCCGATTGCGTGCGCGGGTTGTTCGGGGCGGTTCATTGGGTGTTGATGTAGATCCGGGGCCTGCGGAGTCGGATGATCCTGCGTTGGCTATTGTGCGGAGGTCGTTGAGTGTTGTGGAGAGGACATTAGATAGCGGAGTGGCTAGGAGAGGGAGGTTGGAGTAGAATTCGTCGATGTCGGGCGCGAGGAGTAATTGCGCGTCTGTTGCTGCATCGTTGGGGTCGTCGTCAAGCTGAAGTAACTCGGGGGAGGATTCGAGGTAGAGGGTTATGATGGCGATGGGGTCTCGGCACTTGAATGAAACAATTGTTAGCCTGATTCATCTCCCTTGAGGGGGTTGGTGTTGCTAACATCGTCGGGTACTCCGCTGTCTGGGTCGAATGCCAGCCGTCGCAATGCTTGCTTCTTGATTTGCTTTTTCGCGTCTCGTATCCGGCAGGCTTTTACTTCCTATAGGGTATTCCAGGGTCAGAGAACCATTCAGAAGTGGATAGCGCGACCTGGTGTTGCGATCATGAGGTGAGACGCACTTCTACAACAGCCTGTCGAGCGGGTTGCGCATCCTGGGCGCGAGTGGAGCCATCGGGGTTCGAGAGAGTCGTCGTCAGGTGGGTATAAAGTCTCTTAAATTGAGGGTTGTTGTCAAGAATGACCGGATCGCATGGCGGGATCATGTTTTATGGCAGGGGCTGCGCGTAAAGCTGTCGCAGGTGGAAGTGCATCATCTACCAACAGGCGGCGAGCAATCGGGCGGCCACCGCCTCATCCCCGTGACCTGGCGATCTACAGTCCATAACATGTCGATAGAGCATGGTCTACACTCTACAAGAACCAGAATGAATAATTTTCATATCATAATACAAAGCTGAATTTTCGCTTCCGTTTTCACATTCCTTTCGTAATCATACACGCACCTAGCCTTTCCAGCATGCTTCTCTCCGCATCCGACCTCACCCTCGTTGCTGATGAACTCGACGTCCCTCAGCTCTCATAGGAGATCCACGCAACCTCATCAAAGGGATCATCCGGTTGCGCTGCTGGTCGTCAAACATCCTCCAAATCTCCCCCAAATAGCACCCTATGTACAAGTGCACGGCTCAACACCGATCGCACTGTCCTCCAACATGGAAAATAAAAAAAGAAAATGAGATGAAAACACAATCGCTAGGAACAGAAGTAGAGTGATAGAAGATAAACAAAGCTCATTAGTGGGTGGAAGAAAAAGACCATGGCGTAACACGCAGTGGGAATTAACTACTGAAGTCATGAGGCACAGGCCCAGCAAACAGAAGAACAACATAGCTTGCCAGAGGCAGCAATCATTTACTCCTCCTCGCTCTCCTCCGAATCATCTTCAGAGTCGTCGCTGCTCTCGTTGGCTTCGACCGAGGGCATAGGGTCTGGAGAACGGCCTCCGCCACCACCTTGGAACCGAGACAAGTTGCTTTCGAGCATGTTGATCTGAGCTTCTTGCTCGTACTTGCTCATGGGCTTGTTCTTCTTCGGCTTCGGGGCGGCCGCGTTCGCCGCTGCCGCAGAGGCAGGATCCTCCTCTACCACATGCGGCGCGTTCTTCTTGACAAACCGAAGTAGCATAAGGAGAACGTCGTTAGGAAGCTCATCAATGTCGAGCTCGATTTCAGCCTCTTGGGTACCCTGTAGAACGTGTTAGGCCTCGCATAGAAAGTAAGATCACATTAAGCAAATAACTTACCTTGAGGGCAGGGACATTAGTCTGGATGATCTTGAGCGCCTCCTGCATCTTCTTGTCAGGAAGGCTACTGATCCCGTTGGAAATGATCTGCTTCTCGTGGTAGGTGACCCAGTGTTGTTTCTCCGGTTTGGCTGAAACCTTGGTGGTGCTCTTCTTGCTCTCCTTCTTAGCGAGCCCCATAGTGCTAGGCTTCTTACTCTCCTTCTTCGACGGCTTGGTCTTTCCGAGCTTTTTGCTTCCCGGCGGGGTCTTCTTTTTCTTCGTAATAGCTTCGATCTGGCGGGTCATCTCTTCCATCTGCTTCTGCAGCAGGCTGAGCTTCTCAGCATCGTAGTCGCTCTCTTCGGCGTCCTCCTCACTCTCTTCTTCGGAAGACTCTGCGCTGTGATGCTCAACATGCGGCTCATGCTGCTCCAGATAACGTGTCTTCTGAGCCCACTTCTTGTTGAATTCTTCCTCGAGCCGCTGGCCCGCCATGTAGGTCGGGTCGCCCGGGATGTTGAACTTAAAACAGTTCTTCAAGATAAGGCGCATATCTAGCTCGAACTCCTTGGCATTCTCATACTGGCCGGCCCTGAGTTTGCTCTGCACAGTAGAGAAATCCATGGGCTTCTTAATGATACTGTGATACGTAGGAATGTTGAGCGCAACAGGATCAACGGGGTGGTAGAAAGGCATCGCGTAGGTGTAGTGCTTCGGCTTGTGCAGCTCGTCCAGCACCTCCTGGCAGAATCTCAGCTCCCACTGGTACTTCTTCTTCTTCGGCTTCGTGGAGTACGGGAGATCGCGCTTCGGAGGATGGATAGAACGCTTCGGACGCCCGTCAGCATTAGCAGAATCGCGGCGGATCAAAGGAAGGCCTTCCGGACCCAAAGCAAACGTCGTCGCCTGGGGAGAAGCACCCGTGGCGCGTGCCGTGCTAGGACTGGGAGCGGGGCGGTGATCTCGACGGACTGTTGTCGAGGGCTTAGCAACAGACTTCTTCGGCTTCTTCTCCTCCACCTCATCGGCTCGTGGTAGATTGGCCATCTGCTTATCGAAGGTGATCTTGAGCTTCTGCCCCTCTTGGGCGACAAGGTGGTCGGGACCGTTGAATGTCAGCGCATTCTGCACCATAAGGTTGAAATCATCAATAACGGCCTGTGCAGTCCGATAATTGTTGTTTTTCAACTTCTTCTCAATGGTTCCAAGGTCCATGGGCCGTTTAATAAATTGCGGGTAATGGGGGACATTCAACTTGATGGGATCCACGGGCTCTCTGTAGAAGCGGGAATCGTGCATCCGCTTCAAGCTCTGGATGGACTTGGAGAGGAACTTGTGCTGAACCTTAGTCATGGTTGCTTCTCCATTTGTAGCCCGTTCCGAGCGCGCCTCGCTAGGTGTAGGCAAATCAGGCACCTTGAACTCGGCTGACGCCGCACCTTCCCCTCCGATCTTGGTACGCTTGGCGGCAGGCTCGTCGCTAGGATCACGCTCGCGCTCCCTCGAAACCTTGGTCGGGGAGGCTGGAACATCCGGCGCGTCACGCATCTCTTGATCCACGCTCTGCAGTGGCGGCACCGACGGCGCCGTACTAGCAGCGTCGGTCTGCATTGCGCTCTCAGGCTTCGCGTTCGAAGGATGGTGGGGCAGCTCGGTTTTCACAGCGGCAGAATCTTGTGATGGCTGGGCAGTGCTCTCCACTTTGGCGTCGGACGGCGCATCAGTTGATGGCTTTGATGCATCCTGAAGCGCCTGTGTATCTTTAGACTCGGCGCCACCCGCACCGTCGCCACTTGCCTGTGCAGCCGCAGACGTCTTTTCACTAGCGGTTTCCTTCTTCTCCCCAGTCGCAGCGGAATCCACATTTGAAGGTTTGGCTTCTTCGGACGCGACGGCTGGTTGTGCGGAAGTATCTGCGGTCGGCAAGGATGGACTCTTGGGCGGAGAGGCGGTCGCGGCTACGCCGTTTGTGTTGGAGGTAGACTCAGCAGTCGATCCGTTTGCCTTGGCAGGCTTGGTCTCCTCTGTCGGCTTCTCTGCACCGTTGACGGGCGCGTCTGATTTGGCGTTGGCTACAGCATCTTGGACTCTGCGAGGACATTAGTAAACAGACATCGTAGACACAGAACGCGAAAATAACGGAGCATACCCTGTGCGACCAGTATCAGCAGGTGAAACTCCATTGGGCGACGGCGGCAATTGAGGCTTCTCCTCTTTGATCGCAGAGGGAGCCTCGGGAGGCGGCGTCGCCATTTGAGGTCGCTGAATTTTCGATTATGTCCTCCGACGGGACCGGGGGTACAAAAGAATCTAACAGGCAGCGATTCTGGTCGCAGGAGCTGGTCACTGGAATCGGAAAGTTTAGGGAGCGGCAGTAACACAAATCAACTGAATAGGTACTCTCTCTGCGCTAACACAGACTAATGTATGGATTTTCGGTAATCGGCGAGCGACAACAGCTGATTAGATGACAGAAGACACACAAGGGCAGACGGGTGTCTTGCGCGGGCCACAGATGGTATGCGACGCCACGGAAGTTGCAAGAGATACAGGAAAGGATGGAAGATTAGCGCGGGCCGGAGGGGGGTGGAGAATGCGACAGGAAGGAGGAATATTTATATTGCCAAGAGGGCGGCGGGCGGAAGATAGCCTGCAGTCACGTGGTGCGGCAAGTACCGGTGACTAAGCGGGAGGCAAAAGGGTCGCCAGACCGAAGATGGAAACAGACGGAATTCAATGAAAAGAAAGGGACTAGGGGGAAAGTTGCAGGTGAGAGAAGACGAGATAAGGAGAATGTCAGTTGGAGCTCAAATGTTCGTCAATCCACAATCTGCACGTGCCAAGCCGCGATTGCTGCCTGAGGCCAGAACCAGGTGTTGATGCCTGGAAGTAAGAACTGAAAGGGGGGCTGTGGGAGAAGCGATGAGGAAGGTACAGTGAAGTAAAGTCCGTGTTGTCGGCAACGCGATGGAGTCGTTGCTAATAATATTAGAAGAAAAAAAAAGGGGAAAGGGGCGGGCCAAAAATAAAAAATGGAACCCAAATAAGCAGCTGCAGTAGCTGTGGCTGGGATCGAGCAAGCGCGCGACGCGAATGACGCGTGAATAGCGTGTTTATGAAGGAAGGAGAGATGGAGCGCAGTCCAGGGGCAGCCGAGGACACAAAGGGCGGTCGGGGGGCGGGCGTGAATGGCAGGGTAATAAGGAAAGCGTGACCGGCGCGCAGCAGCTCTCAGCTCAGCTCCAGAAACAGAGACTGAGAAAGTCGGAGGGGGTGCTAGAATCCTTAAGTACGAACGGTCGCGTTGCGCCCGTCCGTCCTCTGCCGCTAACTCCATCGGCCACGCTAGTCCCAATTATTCTAGTTCAAGCCATTCCGCAGCCGCTGATTGGTCCATGGATGACGCGTTCTACGAGATACGAGTTGTTATTGGTTGTAACCAACCCTGGACGGTGGACCCAGGTTCCGGGTACCAAAAGTTCCCTTTGTCGGAAACATCGAAAACAACAAGAGAGGTGTGAGCAAAAAAAAAAAAAAAAAAGTCTTCAGGTGGTGGTGAAGACAACAACATCAGGTGAAAATGTAACCAGGCATTCCACACCTCCCAAACCTTGGGGGAATAACGATCGGCACAGAGCCCCCATCATCCCATTTTATCGACGAGATGCATCGTGATGATACTGAAGGTGAGTCAGGTCAGATATGACATACCCAAAAATCTGTCAGGCATTCAAGCGGTATAAGAAGTGCATCATGTATCGGGGTGAAGCCTGTTGAGCTGGACGCCGAGCCAGGCTGTGGAGGTCACCAGACCTGATGAAACCCCAGGGTTAGGCCCTGAACCCTCCCTTGCATCGGATCCGGACTAGGCTGGGTGTGCCTGCTGATGTAACCAACCACTCCGGGCCAAAGCTCCGATTCCGATTCCGAATGACAACACCATTTCGAGAGCTGGCCCGCATACCGGTGAAAGGTATCACGTATAAGAGCTGTAAAAGTGGCGGCTGCTGTGGCTGCGGCAATTCCAACTGGTGTTTGATGAGTTACCTTGCTCACAATATTGCTGGGTTGACTGGATGACTCGTCTAGGCAGCCGTAGAGTAACGGTGGCGCCTGCTGCCACTCCTTGTTCTGTTGGTCTCGATCAGAAACTACCCCATGTGTGCTCCATCATCTCCGATATGTCTTGTCTCAGCCAGAGCCCCTAACTTTTTGTGGATCAAGACGTGGATACCTGCATAGGTAGCAAGATATGTCCAGATGAAGTGTGAGTCATTCTTCGTATAGTTAACAAGGTCCAGTGCACCCGAGTGCCACCCCCCTCTGTGAGGGATAAGCTAGATGGATCCATGGAAAGAGTCATCAAAGAATGAAATTATAGTTGCGAGTGTGATCATGTGAAAGAGAAACTGGTGCGAAAAGAAAAGCTTGACAAACCCATTGTCACCACCCAAAGAAGCTGTATGTGAGCGAGTGAGTGTGGGAATCAGGAGAAACTTTGTAGCAGTGGTTAGTTGGCTGTAGAAGACGACGCGGGGTCAAGCATTCTGAATATTGCCCAGCGGGCGTCTGTGAATCTTATGGTGAACAGAACCATTATAGCAAATGGACTCGAAGCACTCTGCAGGGGACATTGATTCATGTGAAGTATAAGTAAGTGAGCAGAGGAGAACAAGTCAGTCAGACAGACAGGCAGGTGAGGAGAATCGTCGCATTGAGAGACTAGAGAGGGCGCTGTTGGATCGACGTCGAAGGAAGAGGAGAGAGTTCTGTGCTCTTGGAGAGGAGAGAGCCGCTGGCTGCTTAGTTATTAACTAGTATGCGCTGCAACCCGCGCGGAGGATTAGATAAGACGCCCGGAGCGGAACTAAGGTTCACAGGCGACTAGACCGCAACGGGCCAAGCGCATCTCTACAGAACTTTTTTTTCCTCCTCCAGCATCAACGGCCCAGCGACGCCGACGGTTTGCAGCTCAACTGGCTTTCAGCACAAGAGGTTCTGCTCCTTATCCGCAGCGGGTCTAGGATTTCTGTTACCTTTGCGTGCTTGCTTTGCGACACGTTCTCTTGCATCTGCTCCCATCCGCCTATACAGCGAGCCAGTTCAAAATGGGCAAGAAAGCGTCTCGCCCGCCCGCGACGAAAACTTCCTCCGCTGCGTCGCCCGCGGCATCCGGCCTCACATATACCGGGAATAAGTCTTCGATACTGAAGGCTTCGTTTGCCCCTTCGGAATACCAATTGGCGCTTTTTGCATCAGTCATCCAAGGCCTCGATGCTCAGCATCTCCGCATCCACGATACGAACACCGGACGGTTACAATGCGAGCATGTCTTGGGTCCTAAGGAGACGGTCACTTCCCTAGACTGGGGTTACTACTCCAGCACCAAGAAAGATCGCGATCAGCAGTCCAAGAAGAAGAGAAAGAGACCTTCCGACGTCAATGGCAACGGGTTCGACCAGGGAGACGTAGTGGTTGCCATTGGTACCAGTGCCTCCGAAATCCGCATGTACTCGCCCGTGGAGGACAAGATCGTTGGAACGCTTGCAAACGGACATGAGAAAGGTATCAGAGACTTCAAGTTTACCTCCAGCCGACCTGGACAGGAGGGTTGGAGTATCGGCGGTGATAATAAGCTTGTGCAGTGGGATCTGTTCACCGGGAAGACGACCAGGTAGCTCTTTCCCCAGCAACTTTGGTACAGCCCGGCCTTATACCTAACTGTTATCTAGGACAATTCATATTCCCAGCACATCGGCCCTCAGCACACTGGCGCGCCCGCTTCCCTCGAACCCACCTGTCATCTGCGCCTCTCAGACCCCGTACGTCGTTAGCGTAGAAAAAGATGAAGCCCCAGTCACCTTCGACGCGATGCGGAACCCGATCAAGAACATCATTCCTTCTTCTACGGATTCTGCCGGCTCTGGACTCTTCCTCGCTGCCGATGGCGACCGTTACATCACTGTTTTCGATGTTGAGAGAAGAAAGCTTGCCCTGAACCTCGTGGCTGAGAATGGTGTATCATCAGTGTCTCTGTACACCGGTGCGGAACGGAAGGGTTCTACTCTGCCGGCAGAGAAGCAGGTCATCGCTGCGGTCACCGAGGATGGCACCATCGAACTCTTCACTCGGCCATTCGTGCTGCCGAACGATCAGTCCACTGCTAAGGGCGCCGCTAGCCTCAAAGCCAGATCGAAGCAGGCCATCCGGAGAGCTGATTCTCAGATCAAGGTGACCGTGTCCGCAACATCCAATGCTTTGGTTTCCATGGTGGCCGCTTCGTTCGAAGGTCCGGACTTGGTTGTTGCTTGGGCCGAGGGCGGCGTGGTTCCGGTTTTCGAGCGGATCAAGTGGCTCAACGAAGAGACGGACGACTTGCTTTTCACAGGCACCAAGCATATCGCCAAGTCCAAGTCTGGTTCGGTTCTGGGATCGGTCACGACGAACGGAACGAGAGCCGCTAACGAGAACCAAGTCGACGAGTCCAAGGCAGTTGTGGAACAGGGAAATGTTATTGAAGACGATATCGAGATGCAAGATTCTAAGGATGCTGCGTCTGTAGCTGGCAGTGACGAGGAGTCGGACGACGAGGAGGCGGAACCCAAGCAAAAGACCGATTCCAAGCAGTTGCAGAAGAAGTCTGACGCGGACAGCGATGTCGAGATGGGCAATGCCCAGGAATCTGGCTCCGAGGAGGAGGATGAAGACGAGACAGGCGAGCCTTCTTTCGGAGAGCTCATGCGCGCTAACCAGGAGGTCGACGTGGAGGCTGAGCTTGAGGACGACGTTCATATGGGATCGCTTGTTCCAGGCAAGCCCAGCGCAGCCGTGCAGCAGATTCCCACGGGCGTGTCCCTTTCCACCGTTCTCACCCAGTCCCTTAAAACCAACGACAACGCCATGCTCGAGTCCTGCTTCCACACTGGCGAACTGTCCATCATCCGCACCACTATCCAGCGTCTCGATTCCTCTCTCGCAGCGACCCTACTTCAAAAACTCGCAGAGCGCCTCTCCACTCGGCCGGGTCGCTATGGCCACCTACTCGTGTGGGTGCAATGGACTTGTGTCGCCCACGGCGGAGCTCTCGCCGGCAAGCCCGACCTTCTGAAGCGGATGTCCACCCTCTTCAAGGTCATGGAGCAGCGCTCCTCCAGCCTTCCTTCTCTGCTTCTGCTCAAGGGCAAGCTGGACATGTTGGACGCACAGCTTGGCCTGCGTCGGTCGATCCGTAGCGGTGAAGAGGCCATGGAGAGCGAAGATGAAGAAAACATTATCTACGTGGAGGGTCAGGAAGAGGACGATGACGAGGACAGCGACGTCGACGCCAAGAACATGGCCACCCCGCGGAAGTCGATACGCGACCAGGCCTTCGACGAAGAGGAGTCTATGATGAACGGCGTCCAGACCGGCGACGAGTCGGAGGACGAGGAAGACGAGGGCAGCGAAGAGGAAGAAGAAGAGGACGAGAACATCCTTGACGTGGAGGCGGAAGAGTCCGCCGGATCTTCTGATGCCGAGGAGTCCCTAGAGGAAGATGAAGACGAGGACGACGAGGACGCAGAGAGTGTCGGATCGATGGTAGACTTTATTGCGGACACGGAAGACGAGTCGGAGGACGAGCAAACACTGTCGACCTCGAAGCCGCCACCGTCCAAGAAGGCCCGACTGAGCGGCGGAGGCCGAGGAAAGGGGAAGAACAAGGGCAGAAAATAGATGCAATCGTCGTTTGATTGATTGATGAGAACCCGAATTCTTCGACCTCCCCTGTAGATCTTATACCCTGTTCATCAGCACTGTGTGTCCCCGGATGATGGTCTTGATTTATACTACTATTTCTTTTTACCACAACCACTACCACTACCACTACTATCCTCCCACCAAAAGTCAGAGAAAGGACAAGGAACAAGGCCCAAAGGATTTTTCATATTTTGTCTACGTTTTGTTTGGTTATATTTATCTTATCATCTTCTTGTTTCATTATAACATGCATCATTGCTAGACTTTGGAAGGGGAGGGGCTTAGGAGCGGAGTACTATGAATATATATTAAGTATGATTCATTTGATTCCACTGATGTAGTGCATTTAACTGCTAGTAGCAAACAATATATAAACTCGATTACACCTAGTACAACCCTTCATACTAATCAGCAAGCCTAGGGGTGCATGAGATTAGTAACACCGTATGAGAGTTATTATTAGTACTAAGTAGTACCTTCAATTGTATATAATTACCGAGAGCTACTACTACCTAACTCAGCAACCACTACTAGTATGTACAATCACCATAACCACCACCCCATCCCCACAACTAATTATCCTACACTGGCAACCGACCACAAACATACATACCATCTATCTACCCATGAAATAAAACCCATTAAAAAAAAATCACAACAACTCCCCCACCCCACAAGCCCCCGAATGCAAAACCCTATGCCCAGGAATCTCCCTCAACGCGACCTCCAACGCCACGGTACTCTCCTCCGTCGGATAAGTAGTATAATGTCCCAAAGCACTAACCTCCGCGGTATCAAGTGCCAAAATCGCCCCGTTCTTACCCCCGACTATCCATGCATCATCTGTTGAGTTCGGGAGAGTAATGTGCGCCACGCCGGAGAGGAAGATGACCCATCTATATATATTTTTTTTTAGTTTATTTATTAGCATATATGGATTTATGTATATATTTGTTTTCTAGAAGATATGGGTTGAGGGGGCCGAGGTATGCATACTGGTTCGTGGGCGCATTATGGCGGCCACCATCATATTCACCGGGGATGAGGAGGTTAGTTGCGTTGTTGGTGACGGAGCCGAGA